TTCCTCCCCCGCAGCGCACTTTCACCGACCTAACGGTTCTGGCCCTCGTGTTAACGACGCCACAGTATTCTACTTCTGCGATTGTAAAATATCGGCCGGAATTATTACTTGAACCTCGGAACAAGTAAATCAAGACAGTGTCATAGCGAACGCATGCCCACATTTAAGGGATAAGGTTTTAGCAATAGGATACTTGACAACCATGTCCAAACCAGGATATAAACCATACTTACGAGAAAGTCTTTCATCTATTAGAATTTTTGCATAGCGTAGTGTAAAACGTGATAAACAATCACGTGGCCATTAATGTGTAATGTGTAATACATTTCAATAGCGAAGCATTGCCGGGCCCACTAATAAAATTATAAAACAGAGGCATGGGTTATGATCTAAGCGTAAGTGTGACATGTAACCAGGGTGTCTAAAACACGCAGTCAACAGAACCCTCGTACATTAATGCGTCTGTATAAAAAATAATCAAAGATTGGCAAACAGATTTAACTAAATTTGCATGCCGTGGACCCATTTTGGCATACCTCCGGTTTCTGTTTCTTAATGTCAAAGTACTAGAGCCTGGAACAACAGCCGCTGCGCCGCGCGGCATTTCGGAATTTTGTCAAGGTGTGAACAATGTCATTAACTTCGTGTTTCGCTGAATTGGAGCTCGTGTCCATAGGAGCGCTTGTTCCCTTGGTGGAAATTCTTTCACAGTAGGCAAGGCTGCACAAACCCCACGCACACGACGGTTTTGCGTCGTGGAAAGTGTGGCACTTCCATATTTTTTTCAGTAACTTCCAGGGCATGATAGCAACTATTTTTTTAAAGGATATAGAAATAGTGAATAGTTATCCGTCAGCTCAGTACGTACTATTAAAGGTTAGGGATAGTTTTCACGAATGAGTACATTGTTCCGAAATCATCAATTAAAAACAAGTGGTGCTGAAACAGCACGTACTTTCTCGCCCGTAATTTCGTGCAAAATTACGCGAAAATAACTCAAAATTTCGAAAAGTTGTACGTGAGCTTATTTCAAAATCAGCCTTTAAGGATCAAATTTCATTAGGGGAAACATTTAAATCATCCTAATAGTAGTTGTAGGTAACACCGAAAAATTTGTGAATATTTGCAATTTTTCGAAAACAAAAGCCTTCAACGAAAATGATATCTGCACCATTCTCTTAAACGTCTTTACTATGCAACTTTACGTCACACTATCCAACAACAAAATTGAATCAAAAACGATGAAGCCAATTCTTTTAATGTTTGAAAATATCACAGAGGCTTCATGTAAAGTACCCTCGAAAATTAAAATATAGGTTTTAAATTCCAGTAGCCGTGTCATCAGCCAGATCGTTTGGGAATTTTCAATTTTGGAGAAAATAGGCTGAACAGTTTAGTCGCTAGCGATGTTAACAGACGGACGAACAGACAGTCGTTTCGCCGTCATTCGATTTTTCGGTACCAAGGACCTAGAAAACGTGGATTCTGACATCATATGCTTGAGGATTTTTCCCCCCTAAAATTAGCAATTAGATTTATCCACTTTTTCATCACCAGGGTCATGTAACAGTTTTTCTGCCAAAAATTCGCCGTTTTTTTTACGCAGCATTACATAACTTTCTTTCTACTGCGTAAGTGGTAACGAGAAAGTAAAAATAGCAAAAATATGTTACCAATTTTGTCGGAAAGCAGATGAGGATATGTATGAGTGTGAACTTGTGTGACATCAAACTGATGTCAAGGAACAGCCTGTATATTCCGAATTTCACAGAGCCCTCGCTGTTTACTTTCATTACACTTTTAATGAAACTTGCAGTAGACAACCTTTTATTCACAGAATTGTGCACAAAAATAATACATCTTAAAAAGGAAGTTTTAAAGGGTAATTTTTGGTATTCTAGCAACATAAATACAGTGAGGTGGCAAAAGTCATATGATATCTCCTAAAGTGTCGGATTTCGTTTTGCCCTTGCGATATGCAGCAAATCGACATGGCAGGGACTCAACATGTCGTTGAAAGTCACATAGTACGTCACACACAGGTTTTAATTGTTTTTGACGTTAAATAAAATAAAAATATTTTTCCTTACCAACTCACGAGAATTATTGGTACTACAACAGCACCTACCTCACATTATATGTAACGGCTAAGCAATATCATAACACACCATGAACCTGCAAAAGTGTTTTAAAACAGCAACATTTGTTTTCGCTCTGGGATTCGAACTCGACTTCTTAGGTTTAATACTAAATCACCTTACACCACCAGGATCACAGGTAAATGCCAACTTCTCGACGCAGGAAAAAAAAATAAGGAAATTTGCATTTGTAAAAAAAAATGCATGTGCAATTTTTTTCATATCCAAAAAGCCATAGGCAAGAAAGATCAACTGATGTCTTGAAGAAAATTGATAATATCCTGAATTCTAGCCACCGGGATTAGAAAGAAACGTGTTGAAATATAGCACAGACACAGGCTCTAGGACTACAGCACGACGCTTAAGAGGTAAATTGGAAAGACGGGATTGATATTCACATGTTACGCGAAATTTGGAAACATGAGCAGCATATGTTCAGAGGTTTCTCAGGTGCTTCTTCTAGAATGGTTGAAATTGGCAAGAGGCGAGATTTTGAGTAGACAATAGTGAGATTGGCAAGAGGCCAGCTGCTTTGCAGTAGGTCCGCTGGGTTCTTTTCCCACGCTTGCAAGTACAAATAAGACCTCAGGAAGTGCTGTTGAGCAGCTACTTCTCATGGAGGCAAAGAAGTGAGATTGAATAGTGCGTTTCTTTGAAATGATCCTAAAATTTCATAACGTAGAGTGTATAGTGGCTCTATTTCATTCTCAGAATGGAGCGCTGCCATGCACTTCTGTCCCGCCTCAACAACTTCATCAGCAGTAGCATTGAATTTGCGCAATACCTCTGCTGCTTTCTGCGGGTTTTTGTTTATTTTCCATGCCTTCTGGAATTTCAGTTTTACTCTACTGAAAAACGACGAAGTATCGCAGACATTGAATGCATGCGGATATAGTAAGTTGGCTTTACATACGTGGAAAAACTAGAAATATAAGAGACTGTAGACAGCATTGCCTTGTATTTGCCTGAATTTAGTAGGAAAATGTTGGAGAACATTGGAGCTGATGCCGTTAAAATCACAAGACGGTTGATGACCAACCCCAAAAAGCACAGTCACAGTGCTGAACAACCTCAACAGCACTGGTCACAATAAAAGGTTCCGGTTTCATCATTAGCGTGCTGTTCCTTTACGTGGTCAGCTTCAAGTCGTGAAATCCATAAAGATGACGAGTTTTTTCCTGTTCATTCCAAGGATACAATTCTTTTGTACGATTACCGACTTTGTTTCATCAAACTTGCATCGTGCATATTTTTCGGTGGCCCTAGGCAGCCTCATATATAAATTAATTTTACTCTCTCTTTTGTCTTAGGATACTCATCAAACACAATCGTGACCCTTTCACCATGCCAGTGCTTGACATAGTCTACTTATATTGCTAATATGGAATAAATAGTTTTTGTCTCCCATATCAATCTATACAAAAGAAATACCTGACACATAATCGTGGTCCATTATTAGCAACCACGGGCATATGTGGGTTGTAAATAACTCAAATGTAACTGGAACCACAACCCTTTTTAATACCACTCAAAATATAGCACAAATGCAGTGTATTTAAATAACATAAATTCACGTAAAGTAGCGCATATTTAACAACAAAAATGGCACAAACCATATTAAAATGAATAAGTTAGTAAATAAATAATGTAATGAATCCACAATAATTAAAATCAAAACATTTGTTTAAGAAATATGCAATATTTAGTTGATTTTACGAAGAAATGGGTGTTTAGTAAAAGTATAAAAAAATGGCTTTTGCACATAGCGTTTTAACAACATCACTTGGTCAAAAACAAAATGTTGCACTCAATGTATGCAACATTCAAAACTCAACATTTTCTGTAATAATATACGTTTCAGTGAAAAGTTAAGTTTCAAAGAAATTTCTGAAAAAAAAAACAAACAAACAACAAAATAAGTACGAAAATGTGTTTTTTATCATAATTGCAGGAGCTCCAGTCGAACATTAGGGCGAACTCAGATTACTCATATCAGAAACCTACTTGAGATATTAAAACAATTTTCATAACTCCGCCAACTTTTGTGACGCAAACTCTTTTTTGGACCTAATTTTATTGGCATATTAGTCGCTTCAACAATGTATCTTACAATTAGTGAATACAGAATGGTATGTCTCTCTGATTAGAAAATTATATTTAAATTTTTCCGGCCCTAAGAAACATCAGGGTTGAACAATGAAGGAATGAATGGTTATAAGGGCCCCCATTCAATGCCCGCTCCGGGACCCCCGCAAGGGTTAATCCGGCCCTGGCCGAATCTGAAAATGAATGAGGCTTCTTATGTAAGTGAGCTTGGACTACGGATGAATAGCCTTCATTGTCGTTGAATTTCTCTGACATGATCGTTTTGTGATGGTGTAGAATTTATCTTGTCGAGGGAAGTTTCTTGCATTGAAAATTTGCGCCACTATTCCACTCATGAAATTTCAGTTATTAGCGTTCAAGAATTTGTTCCATACGAACCAATCAGAGGCGAATTATCCACCCGTATATTATTACAATTTAATTATTACGTACTCAGAAGTAGTAATTATTGCTGCCGTTTCTGTAACAAGGGAAACTTGGAAAACGGTGGCGCCTAGCGGAAGAGCTCACTCTTATCGTTGCTGCGCCCCAGGGTACCCTGGACTCCCCGAATATCAGAGAAAACAACGTTGTTTCTCTAAACTCCAGCAAATTTTTAATTTTTCCCGAATACGGTTGTCTTTTGTGCGGTAAGCTAAAAATGTCTGAAAACAAACTAATTACTTTGAAGTTTAAGTAATAAATAAAATGAATGTTTGAATGTGACCAGTCATATGTTATAAAAAAAGAAAATTTGAATAATATTTATCTTTTAAAATTTCGATTTTGATTGATTGAATAGTGATTCCATTCAACTCCGAGCTAATTCGTTAGTCCCCTAATTATAGTGCGTGTTTACCCCTCTGGATGGTGAGATCCGACGCCGACCTACCTATCCGCTAATGGGTTTTCCCCAATCAACGTGGCACCGCCCCACACCCCAGCCGGGACAAGCTCCAAGCTCCCGACCGGTCCCCCGGCATGTGTAGTAGTGTAGTGCATGTAAATGTGTCTGCAAGGGAAGAGCATACGACAAGGAAGGGGAAAGAAAGATCGCGCCCGGTCCGTGGCCTGTTTGTTAGGGTATTGCTTCGGCAGTCGCCTGGTATTCGTCAGAGAAGCCAACCGAAAATCCAATATAGTGTCGAAAATCTTGCCATCGTCGGGACTCGAACCTAGATCCTACCGGTCAGTCTCTGCAGTGACATCAATTGATGTCCTGAGCCACTTACCCCTGTTTAAATTTCGAATACATGTCTACATTTGTTCAGTGTAGCTATTACGCCTTCTAATTTTCGTCATCTATTAAAAAGTGATATCATATGCCTGCAGATCGAGATGGACGACGACGCAGTTGCTTCGGGCACTCTCCCCGGTGCCGCGGGCGGCGGCCGCGAGGAATCCGCTGCGCCCTCCCGCAGGGCTCCGTCCCCAAAGCCTCAGCGTCGAGGGGCAGCACGGCGACGACCTTCCACAGGTTGGGGTCTTCCGCTGACGCCGGCCGCAGCTGCAGCAGCAGCCCTCAACAACGACCGCCAAAGCAAATAAACGGCAGAGTGAGCACGGTGCACGTTGAGACCATAGCTTCCGTCACGAAGAAAGTTTTCGATTACCATGGTTCACTTTCAGGCATCGTCACTGCCGTGAAATGCATACACATTTTGTGATCAACGGAAGAACAAAACCACTAGTTCACATTCAGGTGATATTATACCTAAGCTACCTGCTGGATGTGATTTTATGAATAGAATGAAATGACTGACATGTTGTATTATTTACTTTATATTATGACATAGCCCAGAGAAAACAGGGTTTTGGCAGCGGATGTCGCGTTCATTGGCGTGTGTTTTATTACACGGTTCCTAAATGATTCTGTTTTCTAAGAAAATGTAAACAATACTCAGTATGAAAGTGATACTATGTACTTTCCAAATACATGGTAAGTTGAATTAGATGTACCTCCTGTGATTTTTGTCAAGTAACTGTTTTTTGGGAATGTGTGCAATCTCTTATTTGTCATGTTTCGTATTGACGTACAGTATTCTCCATATCTTTTATCATGTGCTGAAAAAACTAAGTAAAATATTTTTCTAAATAATTGGTGTAAATTAACATCTGTAATCTTCTTATTGAGTGTGAAGATTTGTTTCGAAATGAAAATATTTTATTTTTGCATTCGAAAAGGTGTATGATATAATTCACATTTATTCAGAAACCTATCATTGAATGGATTCCAGAATAAAGCTTGAAATAAAAAATAAATGTTACTTTATTTTGCCTCACCTCATCAAGGTTAACCGAAGTAAATTATATGAGAAACAAGTAAATAAAGTAAGAATTGGATCATGAAATGGGAATATACTTACTTAGCAACGTTTCATTAAAATACTATTTAGTAGGGTTGAATATATATAAAGTAGCGAAAATTAATAAACCTTTTTGCTCCAAATGAAGAACTGAAATTTGAACTTGGTACATAATTACTGGGATAAAAGGGGACCTTGTTTCAATTTGCTTGTGTGTATGTATGTGTGTGTGTGTGTGTGTGTGTGTGTGTGTGTGTGTGTGTGAAGCTATTGAGCGTGAATAAAAAAAATGCCAAGTGTGAGGAAGGTTGTGAACATCTTCATACTTCACCCATGCTGATATGATTACAAATCTTTAAGAATCCTGATAGTAGTTCACTCTGTATTCCCAAATCTATTCATTACATTTCAACTTTTCAACAATTGTAAAAAGTTTTAAAAAATAGTTACAATATCTATACAATGAAAAGTTTAACAAAATTCTCTTGGCATGTGATAGTTTTGAAAGTTAATTTGCCATTTAATGACTTTTTATGGGAATGAACAGAATATAAAGTCAATGATTACAAAACTAAGTTTGCAATAGTTTACTTTTGGAAGAATATGCCAATGAGTTCTGAGAAAATATGGGTCAGAATGACTAGCTGTTATACCTACAAATGATCTCTTGAAATTTTTTTTAAAAAAAAGTATAACCAGGGAAACGGCTTCCCTTTTTGAATAAAGTAAATTGTATGAATTCTGAAAATTTTGATAAATTACCAAACAATGCTTTCTCAATAATATGCACTGGGATCTTGAAAGTTTGTTTGGTTTTTTGTGTGTTAATATAATAATTGTGTCTAGAAGAGAGGCCTAGTTAAGCTGTCTAAATTGTACGGGAGAGCAATTTAAAGAGATTACAGTAAGATTTTGACACTTGTCATGCAGTGAACTTGCAATCCACTTTGACATCAAGGGTGCACAATCTGAAGGATATAAAGGATGGAATTTTCAGACCTGTGAGGTGGGAGATGGGGTTGAATTATTTATTACCGCATTGGTAGCCACACTTATTTCATCTCATTAGAACAAAGAAGTAGATTGCATAGTTTTACTCTTAGGTCGTGTATCTCCTTGTTAATTACTGTGAAATTAATTAATTAAATTATTAATTCCCCACCAGATGGAAAATTATATATTGTCACTTACAGGCAGTGCAACAATCAGAATTTACTTATTGGGTGAGCTATTGGTGTAGAGTATTGCTGAATTTATGTTTATTTATAGAAAATTGAGCATTTCTACTGGAATCAAAATACATTTTTATTTGTTATGTATATTATAATTTATTCTTATTTATAATGTGTTCAAACGGGAAAGTGATTAATTTTCATTTATATTCAAAATATTTTGTAATGTATCTATAATTGTGAATATGTGTTATCAACTTCCAGGGGTGCTGATATCCCATAAGCTCCCACCCCATCAGTGCACCACGGCACATAGGTAACATATTTGGAGAACATGTAGCATAGGGTAAAACAACAAAAGAGCTTAATAGTTATCGCAATATATCAACACTAATGGAAAAACTCAGGAAGATCTTGAAACAAGCGTGTGATACTTCATACATTTTTGAGCAGCACCACTAATTACTTCTTATATTGTTTGTAATGTCCTTCATCAGTTGTCTTCCACTCATACCATTTGAATTTATTTTAGTGTACTCAGGCCACTACATTTCCTTCATCACACTAAATTTCTGCCAGTTGTTTGTATGAACATCGAATGATAAGTATACTTTCCAAGATGTTGACTATCTATTTCACAGTGGAGATGTGTCAGTGATGCAGCATTCATGAGAACATCTAATAAACATGATCTGGCAATTGAAAATCTTCATGGATTTAAAGAAACAATTGTCTGTTTCTCAGCTAATGTATTGTTAGGAAGAGTAGTTG